GTCTTCTTTCAGTAAAATATCCTATCTTCAATATTTAATATACTTTCCCTCCGTGTGAGGTTGCCGTGGGACGCCCTGTATATAAAAAAATGGTTGCCTGTAAAGTCGGTTTTACGGGCGAAGATTTTACGTGACAACGTCTTTTTCTCGGTAGAATATTTATTGATATGAATATAATTAAATTGCACAATAGGAACAAGGAATTGAATGAAAATAAGAATTGCACAAATTTTAACTATAGAAATATATTTTGTTTACTAAAACATTGTACATGTAAACTTAAACTTAACACGAGAGACTCATCGTAACGTTACCGAGCGTTACACTTTTTCATAAGTGACTCCCAGCCGCAACCTAATTTAAGACGTTGTCACGTCAAAAAATATTATAAATATTTCAGGCGGGATTCTTTCATACCTACTTTTTCATATAAATAAATCATGTCGCCGAGGTTTAATTTAATATAAAAAATAATAATAAGGTCTTATTGTATCAGAAGTAAATCTTCTACAGACTTCTGCCCGACAACGATTAATAGCATTACCATGAAAAACCCAAAACCAAACTTCCAAACAGTAGGCACCGAAAACTTTAGAAGCAATCCAAACGTATAGGTATTATTTGGTACGTCGACACATGAATTTAGTTATTATGAAAGTAGAAATAAGTTCAACTTATAAACCTCCCGCGGCTTCATCTGCATTAACTTTGGTTTTTTGAGAATCCCACTGGAATCTAACATAATAATGAGATAAAAAGTATCCTATGTCTCAATCCATATCATAAACTATGTGCGTACCAAATTTTATCCATATCCGTTCAGAAGTTTTTGCGTAATTGAGTAACAAACATACCAAACCAAACAAACATACTAACTTTCACATTTATAATATTAGAAGGATTGTAAGGCAAAATATCTTAGAGATTTATTTATTGCTGAAAAATAAATCAGGATTTTGACAGAACAAACCTATTTCTTGTTAATTTTATTTAAGTCGAGTGTGTTTATTTGGTTTGCACTTTCTGATCCGGCAAGAAGGTAAATGGGGGTGACTTATTTTTTATTTTGTAAATAGGATGTTATTTATAAGTAGGTTAAGGAAATTTGTATTTAAATATTATTTATTTCTGTACATATATAATTAAATTTTTATATTTAACTAATCTAAATTGTACTATTTGATCAAAATTAAACAATTGCTAATGGATGCCCTACTTTACGTTTACACTTAAAATATTGAAATGGGCAATTGTGTCACACAGTTTTGTTCTTTTGGAAGTTTTGCAAACACAACCTAATTTGGTAAATATCAGGTAAAATCATGTTATTACCCGGCTGCGCAATGCAAGAGCGCGAAGCGCGACGCGCAGACAGGGTTATGTGTTTAACAGTCTATATATGTATGTTTGTTCCTTTGTGGCACACTAGAAACCAAACGCCTGGACCGATTTTGATGATTCATACATCAATCGATTTGTCTCAATCATGGGAGTGCTACTAAAGATATGATAGTAATCAAAATTCAATATGGGTAAAATTAGGCGCATATTGTGACGAAGTAAAAAAAATAAGTTGACAAAATATGTCGAGTGGGGTATCACTGTCTAGATAATCAAAAATCATATTTAGGTTCCTAACACCATTTTTCATTTAATATGATTGTTTAGGATCTACAACGCTTTAAAGTTGTATATTAACCACTTATGCTTTTAATTTCAATCTTACGGTTGTATGGATCTTTGTTACTCTTTCACCTAAAAAATACTGAATGGATTTTAATGAAACTTAACAGTAATATAGCTCATATATGATAATCACTTAAATATAATAATTTATGTAGTTATTGAGTGAATTGGCCAATATATAACAATAAGTGTCACATAAGACGGAAAAAATCTACCATCTGCGAGCCATTTTGGCCTGCACTGTAAAAACTATAAAAGTTACATGAATTTAATGTAGAGTGAAAATGTATCTCTTAAATAGTTCTAAAAAAAAGTCCGTGACACCATATATCTATTTTTAATGTGTAAGTCATTACCGCTAAAATAGTGAATCGAAACTAAAATATTATTTGATATCTATTTCCAAAATGCACATTTTGTATTAACAAATCATTTTTTATCAAAACAAATACTTTTATCGCTTTTGATATTTAAAGACGATAAACTTTGCTTTTTACACTATGTCATTTCGATTAGATGATAGCGCGGTGTACTATGTAAAAGATAAAAAAATGGGCTATTCGCAGTATCTTCTCCTATACGAAGCACTAACAATAAAACTGTGATACCTTATTAAATGATGAGAAATATATGTATTATCATAATAGGTATTTATGATTATTGAATTTTAATGAAAAACTCAGAATTTTACTGTTTTTCATTTTTTTAACGATATTCCTATATGTTACAAAAAAGGTTTACTTAATATAATGACAAATAACCCATTATTCGCTAGTAAGTACATACTTATTGGAATCCCTGTATTTATTAATCAGCTCGCGATAATATTGTTTTTGTAATAATTCTGCAAAATTCAAAGTAAATAATGTAGATTTTTATAAGTAAATCACCCTACGCCTATAAGTATTGCGATGTTGTAGCTAAGAACCAAGTTCCCATCTACTTCTAATTCATTATATTCGATTTAGCTATAAGGGCACGGAAGCGCAACAAACAAAATAACTTTCACACCTATAATATTATATTATACTTACTAGTGATCCACCCGGGCATTGTACGGGCGAAATTTATTTTATCAGGATAAAATATAGCCTATGTCACTCGGACAAAATGTATTTAAATAAAGAAAAATGTAATAATAAATAATGTAGCTACCTTATGATGAATTAATATTTGAAACCGGTTCAGTAGTTTGACAGATTATTTGTTACAAACATACAAATCTTGCCTCTTTATAATATTAGTATAGATAGTTAGGATAAGATAAGTATTTAATTGATGAAAAATATTTAAAAATAAAGTAAGTAATAGGTTTATTTGATTATATTTGTAAAAGTTACTTAGCATTTGTACTTAACAGTGATACGTTATTCGGTATTTTTTTAAACAAAAGAAAAATTTGGAAAATAGTTGCCATGATTGCCCTACTGGGATTACTATTCATTCGAGCTTTACACTACCAATAAAAAGGGTCGATCACAAAGTCTTCGACCTGTTATATATGAACGCTTTAAAAGAAAACTACAAAGAGAACTATAAATTGATAATAAATGAGATTGCTATGGTGCTCTACCTAACGTTATGAAAATTTTATTATGCGCCTTTAGTTTAATCAAATATTATAAACTTTGCTTTGGTGATTGCATAATTATTTAATTTAGTGATCTATTAAGGCAGTTACCACCATTGTCCAAAACAACAAACGGATATTACTGCTTTCTTCAACCTGCGACATAAACGTCATTGATTGGTATTGTATATAGGGTGATTAAAAACATTTGAAGTTAACTTCTGGCATCTACATATTGGGTTTCTGTGAATTATGTAGGTATATCAAATTATGAGACTAGGGACTGACACTGCATTTGTGTATATCGCAATCTTAGACGTCCGGCATTGACATGACAACGCAGCCACTGCCAATTTTAAATAGTCGACGAATAAAAGTAAATGAATTTTATATTTACTGCTAAACTATTAAAAAAAACATAAACAAAAGATGACTTTTTGAGTAAGTTCTAGTTTACTATAAAATTTACATACATTAGAGATATTTATGTAACGACTTGATTTAACTTCACACATTTTTGCGAATATTGAGGCCCATCTGTAGCCTTGACCCCGCTGGTAAAGTCTCTATATGTCTTAATAAATCAATCTTTTAGACCGACGCAAGGTACTTAATAATTCCCGCGATATTAATTCCCTTACTGAAGTAACAAGACTACGGTATATACCGTCTTAAAATACTAACTAAAAAGTGTGAAATAAAAAAGGTAAATTTAAAAAATCAAAAAACCCGACTGCTTAATTATACTTCAAATAAAAACTGAAAAGAAAAAAACAAGTCCAGTAGTCTATAATTCTGTTAATAACGAACAAAGCTACTTTAACAGTCGGGACCCACTGTTGAAAAATATTATGTATTCTTGAATATCAAATGGGTCCCGACTGTTAAAGTAGCTTTGTTCCTTATTAACAGAATTATAGACTACTGGACTTGTTTTTTTCTTTTCAGTTTTTATTTGAAGTATAATTAAGCAGTCGGGTTTTTTGATTTTTTAAATTTACCTTTTTTTTACAACTTTCTTACGACCAACTTCGTTGCTTCACTGTGGTAACACAGTTGTAAAGATAGTTGGCAGTGTAATGCAATTGTTTGAATATAATTACGCATACATACAATGAAATAACTTCATTCATCTTTTCACAAACATTTTTTGAAACCTGTTTTTGAAGAACCTACTCGTAAATGTTATGATTTTTGTGTTAGATTTTTATGAAAGCATTTCTTTATATGACTGTATATTTTTTTCTAATGGATAATGTATAAAATGGATGGTAATAAATATTATTATTTTTATATACTACAAAACTGCTATATATATATGCGTGTGTGTGTGCGCGCGTGTGTGTGTGTGCGCGCGCGTGTGTGTGTGTGATTTGCAAGCGCAGCTCTTCCCGACGAGCAAGAAAGTTGGAGGGTAACTCGGCGAAGCCTAAAACGCTACGAGCGTCAAGAGCGTCACACGCAAGAATATCTGTATTTGCTGCTTCACTTCCCTATGCCTTATGCACCGCCTAATGTTAGGTTATTTATAAAAAAAAGTTTAACTTCGGATGTGCGGTCTGTACACACATTTTTTTACTGATTAAATAAAAATCGATTAAATTGATTTTATTATTATCATTATCTCGACCTTGGCCCTTATCAGTAACGACAAGGACAGCGATACGATGTCTCACTCGAATTGCTAATCACGTCGCTTTCGTTCGTGACTTGACCGCACTCACTCATTCATTCTTGATTCGGTGTTCGTCAAAACCGTTCAACTCCGCGCACGCGTACTTTCTTCGGCCGCGGCGCGCGCAAGCGGTGTTGCCAGTACGCATGCGATATCTGTGTCAAACAGTGAATGGTGCTTTCTCAGACCGTAATAACCTAGACGCGTAAACAAAATATCGTTTTCTCTATAACAAAAATGGCTTTCACGCCACTAGAGAACATTGCACTGGTGCTATTGGCGACAGGACTGTTAGTGATACTAAAAAATATATGTCGTGCTGTGTATGTGTATGCCATTGGGCCAGCCATCAACAAAGTTGACTTCAAGTCGAAAGGGAACTGGGCATGTGAGTGCACTTTCACTTTTAACTATGTTTTTAATAACTAAAATGCCGGTTGGATTCGTTGGAATTTTACGTTAGTTAATACTTAAATTAGTCGCGTAATATCGTTGAATTATAATAATACTTTTTAGGGTTCCGTAGTCCTGATAAGGACATCCCTTACTCCCTTATTAATACATGCGTCATTGTTGTATGGTTCATGTACTGACTAATAGTAAATATTGACATGTTTTATTTGTTTTATTTATAAAAATATTATTATTGAGAAAATATTGACATTTTATATTTATTTATTTATTATTGATGATGTGTTTTTTTGTAAATTAATTTAATGTTTATTTATTGTTTGGTTTTGTATGGTTGAAATGGGCTGATGTTGTCTGAAATAAATATTTTTTATTTATTTTTATTTTATTAATAAATAAGGAATAATTTTAGACTAGTTACGCCGTGTTTTGTTCATGTCACTCAAATGCCATTTGTCGTTCATTGAACAGAGAAGAAACATGAAGTAACTAATCCAAGCTTATTCTTCGTTTATTAATAAGGGGGTTATAGTTTTGTCATGTCCGTCTGTCCGTCCCCGGTTTTGCTTGGAGACTATTAGCACTAGAGAGCTGTAAACGTTTGTGAAGATATGTATATAAATTACGCTGACAAAATGATACGTTATTTTTTTTTAAATATTTTCTTTAGCGATAGCTCCCCTATATGTAACATGGCGATGATTTTTTTTCCATCGCCTACCCTATCGTGTGGGATATCGTTGAATATGTCCTTTAAAATTACTTCGGGATTTCTAAGACTATTTTTCGATTAAGAGGTCCGTTTGCGAAATATTGAACTTTAAAGTACTAATATTTGTTCGAGTAGGGCGTCCCATCCCCCCTCCTCTGAAAGCTTAACTATTGGCTTGTAAAATCTGGAAAAAATCATGATTATAGTGCTTCTCATAAGGAAATATTATTGAATTCATAATTAATTTTTGTCGACCGATGCGTTTAAATTAAAATATGTAATCGTTTTTTACACGATCTTAATTTATAATTATGAAGAAGAATCAAGCATAAGTAAAAAAATATTTAATATACCTAGTTGAAAATAACAAAAACCTTTGGTTAAAACTATTTTTATTTAACTGAATGCGGATAAAAAGAAATCAGCCAAAGTCAAGTTGCGGATAAAGGGAGAAATTTATTATTTTACAATGCAACATCATCATCATTAGCCTATTAATGTCCCCACTGCTGGGGCACAGGCCTTCCCTATAAATACAATAGGGAAATTGGGCCATGACCCAGCACGCGGGCCCAGTGCGGATAAGCGGGTACTAACGACTGCAGATGCAGCCGGAACTAACGGCTTATCGTGCCTTCCGAAGCACGAAGGAACTCGAGATAGAAGATTTTTGGTCACCCATCCAATGACCGACCACTGTGAAAGTTGCTTAACTTCAACGATCGCAGCCGAACGCGCTAGCCACCTGCGCCATCGAGCTCCTCAATTAATTTTATTTATTTACTTTCGTTCAACTGAGATTATTTTTTATTTAACATCTAAAGTCTTGAGGTTTTTTTCCAAAACCAGTATGCTGATCTGAGGATAAGAAAATAAGGAAATAATGTGCAGCTGTGTGCAGCTATTCTGTTTGGGTTTACTTTATAGACTCACACGAGTACATCAGGACCCAGTCCTCATCTGAGTACAAAACATAATGGTAGATCAAGGTCAGTTTTTTTGTGGTTAATCAACTTGAAAATTTTCATTTAAAAATTAATCCAAATATGTTTCAGTTTAAAAATACTTAAATGTTAATTGTTTGTCCGTAACACAATATTTTATGATAAGTCATCGTTCATAAAGTGGGTCATTTCAGGATTGATAAAAAAACCTAATTGATACGTAGTTAGTAGCAAGTAGTCTTATGAAATCGGTAACAGGTCAAAGATCAATGACCTACCTACTTACATGTTTATACCTATTGAAATGTATTCGATTAAAATGCATAAAGGTGGAAAATGACTAAGTTATTCCGCTGATATTTCGTTTTAAACAATAAGTACATTATATTGCTCTGTAATGACATGTCAACTTAAGCCATTGGTCTGGGCCCACGTGGCTGCTTATTACCCGTGCTTCATATTTTAGCCTCGGGAAAGGCCAATGTCCCAGCAGTGGGTCGGTCATAGCGGATTTTCCGCTCGAATTGGAGCGCCCGTCTGGGGAAGTAACCTCCACCTTAGAGAAGACTACAGTAAAATAACACTATCTTTTGGTAGCGTTTAGAATTGTTAGTTTGGCCGCATACCGTCAGGTGGGCCATATGTTTGCCACCCTTTTTAACATAAAAAAGTGGGGATATTAAGAGAGGAGGCGGGCAATCCTTTTTCCATATAAACGCTTTCGACTGATTCCTCCTTTTGAAACGTTTTAAAAACTACACGACAGTGGGGATTTAAGTGGGCTTGTTGTATTGTGTAGTATATTAATATAATTTTTATTTTCAAAAACAAAGTTGGAATTTTTAGCTCATTTTTGTCACGGGATCTTAGTCATAAGCGGAACTAGTTAAGAATGTGAAGTTTTGGTATATAATGTCATAAATGCTATTATTAAACACAAAAATATTGAAAACGCCGATTCATTATGAACTTTTTTTGTTCTTTGCCAGTTTTGTTTTTTGCTAATATTAATGCTAAGCTATAATCTTGGACGACGCATCCTGAAAACGATGCGAAACTTCGAGTTATATAAGAAGAGTGTAAAAACGCATTTTAAACAAATTGATTTATTTATCTTTGCAAACTTTTTTTAAGACCAAAAATAAGCGTTAGTAAACCTTTATATTTTTTAATTTACACAATTTACTGTAGACTAGTTTTGCTGCAATGAATTAAAACTGAACTTAAAAATCACTCATACTATTGCGAATTTGTAATATCAGCAGTAAAATGATAAGCTGTAGGTAAACTATATGTTAACTATCAAGATGTATTGTCTACTACTATAAAATAATATCGCTTTCATTTATTAATAATCTTACGATAAAGATTTGCGATAAATACGTACCGCGAACGCCCTGAATATATGTGTATATGATTACTAGCTAACCCAGCGAACTTCGTACCGCCATAAAAATAGGGGCAGGTGGTAGAAAAGAAAATTTAAAGCTGTATGTATTTTTAATACCACATTATAAAAACATAAATAGTGTCCAAAAAAATTTTTAGGGGTGTGTAACGTAGTGTTCTATCAATTTCCTGGGATAACATTCCTCCTAACCCATATGAGAACACTAGGTCCCATTGGGACCTCTACTTTTATTGGGATTTAGGTTTAACATTTAACATCTAGCAGTTAAATGATTTAAAAAAAACAACATACATATGTACTTCAATCCCTTGTGTTAATGAAAAATCATTGAGAGAAAAATAAATTGATATTTTTTCTTATTTTCCTGCTAAAACGATGTTTGTAGTTCCAAACTACCACAAAAATCATAAGGTATAAAATTTAATTATTATTTTACTTTATTTCAGTGACACAAACACAAACGTTTGTGGCGTGATAAGGTCGTATGGTCTTGAACTCAAACATTTTCAGCACCTAATTTTAATGGATGAACAATGGTTTGACACGTCCCCGCTTCTGTTCATCATTGTTTGTCTCAAAAATTATCATACTACGTGAAACAACTAAACATTTAAGTAAGTAGGTACTTTTTGTTATTTGTATAATGACACCTAATGTCTTCACTTACCTTTTTAGGGTACTGTAACGTCCGTTGCGTTACAGCCTTCTTGTTTGTGTAAACTCTTTGTACATGTAACGGCTGGCAGTCATATTAAAAAGGTAATGTCATGATTTTAAAAGATTTGAAATTAGAAATCTCCTGTCGTTTGATAGAAGATTCCAGCAGATAGAAATCAGGCACCACAACATACGGTTACATATCAAGCTATAATTATTATATTCGCCTTAATATTAAATAAAAGAACATATAAAATCTAATTAGTTTTCATTTATAAAGCTACGCTCCCAGGGTCTATCCATTCAGGATAGATCGCCGCAGTAACGTAGTCAACAAGGAAGCCTTAGTGAGCTTGTTCACAAGGTGGTTTTAAACCTTGTCTACGTCCGGTGGTCAACTAGGTATACATACATCATCATCAGCCTATTAATGTCCCCACTGCTGGGGCACAGGCCTGCCTTATGGGTGGAATAGCGAGATTGGGCCATGACCCACCACGCGGGAACAGTGCTTATTGGCGGGTGCTAACGACTGCAGATGCAGCCGGGACCAATGGCTTAACGAGCCTTCCGAAGAACGGAGGAACTCGAGATAGAAAATTTGGTCAACTATCCAATGACCGACCACTGCGAAAGTAGCTTAGCTTCAACGATCGCAGCCGAACGCGCTAACCACCCGCCATCGAGGTCCTCAAACCTAGAATTTTTCTCTCCATTATTTATATTGTTGTTTTCACGACACATCTCAAGTATTATATTTTTTGCGGCGTTTAAAGTTTCCAGACACCTCACTGGGACCCAGTGCTCCTTACAAAACTATTCGCGAAGGCACTTTGCAGGTTAATGCATGCCTAGAGAGTAATGCTTAATACGAACTTTAGATGAGCGCGGTAACCGCTCCACAGGTGTCGTTTCAACGCATCTAAAGAGACATTTTAAAATGGAAGTTATTAACACGCAGTTGGAACTTTGAGCGATAAAGTTATCAAATGTGCGTTTAGTTAGTTTCAAATTTTCAGTGAAGAAATAATTTTATACTCGTATACTAGTACCAAGTTCTTTTTATTTGAAATATATACCATTATAAAGCTTTTTGTTAATGTATACTGCCAGTTTTTAATTGAATGCCATAGCTACTTTAGTCATTGAGATATATTATTTTGATTTGAATTAAATTTAAAATAAAAAACATTTTAAATATTAACTGGGTTTTTCTAGTGTAATTAATGAACATCTTATTTTAGTTAATTTAG